CATTCAGCGGCGGGTGAGCAAGCGAGTCGGGTCAACGAGTCGGGTAATCATCGGACATCGTCATCTAGGAGGTCGTTGGATAGCTCTCTGAGAAATAACAATGGCGTCAACGCCGTGAAGGTGGGATGCTTCGACCGTACCCAGAGAAAAGACGGGCAGTTACTCCACGACGGCGCCATTGCCGACCGGAAAAGCTTCGAGCGGCGGTTTGAGCACCGGGTAGTCATCTCCGCCGCCGGCGGGACACATCAACAGCAGAGGGATCAGAGATGGAGCGACGTGGCGAGGCCATCGGATCTACTGTTCCTGAGGTCGGAGATGATACAGAGCGAGAGCAGGCTACCGGAAGGAGGGGGAGGAGTGGGTGGCAGAGCTGTAAATAAGGGGAGAAGTGCGTCGGAAATAACAAGCGAGGAGAGGTTATGGAGGAAAGAGAGCGACAACGACAGCCATCGGCATAGACGACAACGACAAGCCTCCGCAGTTGTTTCGAGGTGGCTCGCCTGGGCTGTACGGCCCCACCCCCACACCGTTTCGATCTTCCCTTGAATTAATATTTTTTTTATTTAAATAAAATCAAAAACAACAAATTACAGATTTTATTACAAATAATAAGAGCTGTGGATTGAGTTGGGTATTCAAAATTTTGGATTATGGCCCAGACGAGGGCAAGGGCGAAAGAGAGTAAATTTTAATTTCACCCATCTGTAGATTATTTGAATTTACTCGAAGTTCGAATGTTTTGCTTTTGGCTCTCTGATCGGATTATTTTTGTTTAGTCATGAAACTCAAGCCAATTTTTAATTTTTTTTTTTAATTTTGTTTTGGACGAGGAGTTATATATATATATATATAGAGAGAGAGAGAGAGAGAGAGAGAGAGAGATGGAAGTAGATGCATTTAAGACAGTAGAGTGTTAATAAATCTTGTTGTCCAAAACCTCTGGTACTGCTGTCTAACATTTAAGACATTTCCCCGAAACTGGCAGGATTACTTGATAGTAACCATTAATGGGTATTCATGTTTAAAGTTAGGGATTCACGCACACACACACTCTCTCTCTCTATATATATATATATATAATATATGTATATATGATGCATTTTCATAAAAGTGTTGTATTATCAATGTTGATATATATGTCTTTGTTTGAATCAAAGTTATAATTCATACACATTCTACCATTGATTTAAAGAGTTTTCGAACTTAATATTTGATGTATGTATTGATATAGTTGAAAAAATTAAGATTTAACTGGATCATTATAAATAAATCTGTATAATATATAGTATCTACATCAGATGGAAAAACATGTGGTTTGAATGTTTGGAATGAAATTTTTATTACAGTCGCAAGATATATATATATATATCTTAGTAGTTTGTCTAATTACATAAATTTCGTATGTAGACACACAAAAAGCAGAACATTCCATGTGGAATATGCAACCGTACCTCACATATAGTCCAAACTACTAACCATTTGAAAATGACATTCTTATCTTATGTAAGAAAATTGAAAAAAAAAACACAAAAAAAGGAATTATATTTTTGTCTAATATTACATGATCCATTTCAAATACGAAGAGTACATACACACTCATATATATATATATATATATATATATATATAAAGAGAATAATAAATCATCAAAGGTATGTGTGCGCAATCATCATCATCCTGCAAAAGGAAACCCCAATAAGAGGGGCCCCAATTTCCTTTTTATCACACTTTTCCCCCCCAATCTTTTTTTTGTACATAAAGAACCCACTTGAGTTTGGCAGAGTTTCAGTCTTACTGTCTCAACTCAACTCAGTTCAGTTCTCGTTTCTTCACAATTCTTTACTCACTTCTTGTCAGAGTTTTCCTTTATAAAACACCTTTTTCATCTCATGGCATATTTTTTTTTGGAAATTCGAATGTTTTGGGCCGAGTTTCAGACTAATCCCGGAATCCGGAATAAGCTATTTGATAGGAATTACCTCCCTTCATGACATCTTTCCTCACGAAGAATCAAATCAAGTACATTAAAAAGAAAAATCACTGTCTTCTTCTTCTTCTGTTTCTAACTCCTCTGTTATCCCTCCATGTTCTATTTTTACAGGCCAAGCTTATGTCATATTCTATAATCAGCGTCACTTTAAATCTTGATTAAACTAAGATCTTTGAAGAGATTGGTTCTGTCACATTATAGTTTGAAAGTTAAACTGCATAAAGTTTTGCTTTTTCACGCCCCCTTTGAGCTTTCTTGAGGAGGTACCAAGTAAAGATCTTGAAATGAAGAAGAAGACAACAAAAAAAATGCAGACTCTGGCAATCTTCAGTTCTGGGTAGTTAATTATTTTTGTGTGTTCTCTCTGGCATTTTTGATGAGCTTTATGAGCATATAGTATAATAACCCATAACATTTTTATATTGTTTAAAATTTTGGCCCAACTTGAAAATAATGTGTGTGGTTGGGCATTTGGTCTTTAACAATCTCATCATCAGATCAGCCACTTCAGTGAACTGTTTTTCCTGGAACAGTGAAGAAGAAGCTGTGACATGACAAGACATGGCCCTGACATTAACTCTGCTGTCTGATTTCTATTTCTGTTATTGGTTTTTGATTCCTTTTTCAGTGCTCTTCTCTCTGTCAGATTCAGACTGATTCTATGCTTTGCAGTTTCAGGCCTCTCCGGTCACAGGCATGAGTGCTCTCTCCTTGAAGAATCTATGCCAACAAAAACCCTATCTGTGATTTCACAGCCCATCTCATTGCAGAATTGCTTTCCATAGATGATGATTTCAGAACTACAAAATACATGAACAAAATTTGTAAAAATCATTGCCCTTTTTCATTAGGAAATGTATGATGATAAAAGAATTGACAACCCAAATCGATGTTACCCTTAGAACAGACTACCAACCAATGCCACAGGGAATTGAAAAAAGAAGTCACTTATTGGGAAATCCTCTGAACTCTTGTTTTGGTACTCTATCCAGCAAGCTTCCTGTGTTGCTACAAAATCTCACCTTTGGCTCAGCTTCCTTTTGGTAAGAGAGATGATGCATGCTGTGTCAGGTTTTGCTCGCAGCATAGAGGAGGAGCAGACTGTGTTCCAGAGGGAAGAAGAGGAAGAAACTATATAAAACATATACATATATGAAGTGAAGAAGAGTGAAAGTGTTTGGAGGAATGATGAATGAATTCTGGTGTCGGTTGCTTTCTATCTCATTTGCTTCTTTTCTTGGCTTCGCTGTAAAGAATCACTCCACAGACTGTGAGGGAGTAACCGAGCATTCCGGTCACTGAGACAGGGTTCCTGAATATTAGAATCGAGACCACCACCGCCACCGCTCCTTTGGCGTTTCCTAACACCTGTTTCATAGCCAATTATTTTCAGGGATATCTGCTAAGATCGAAACTTCAAAAAAAAAAAAAAAAGACGCCCACAAACAAGTGAAATGCAAAACCAAAAGGGCTTGATGAAAATTTGAGAAGAAGAAAGCGGTCCCCCAGAACTGTTAGAAGAGAGGAAACAGCTAAAATGCCATAACAAGAAAGATGCTTGGAAAAAAAAAGATAGCATTTGATATAATTCCAAAAGATCAGTTTTTGTTTTCATGGTTGGACCAAAGCATGAGCATATAAACAAGGAACCTCAACGTCCAAAATTCGGTCTTATAAATTGAAGAAAAGGCTTTTTCCTGTGAAATGATCAATCCGACCGAAATCCATACGCCCTTAAATACAAAAAGGATAGCTATTGAATGTTGCTTGCTACCAGAGACAAAAAGACGAGATATGTTTACCTGAAGTGTCAAGGCGCTGGTGTGTTTAGTGACTAAGAAATTGGTCAAGTTCACGAAATAGGCAAGTGCAGAATTGAATAGCAGATACCAAACGATTCTGAAATCGTCTCTTGCAAGAGCAAGTGCAATGCCGACAACATTTTTCTCCATAATAAGGGTAGCTGGCAGAAGGAACACAACTGCTATGGGAGCCATGTAGAGGAGGAGGTTCATGGAATTAAGCTTCTCCCTTCACACCAATTCAAAAGCTTTTCAGTAACCCAATCCCGAATCCAAAATTTTGCAAGACACAACTTAAATCTTATGAGCATTCATTCATTTCTTACCCTTCCGAAGAAAGCAAAATGCCTTGAAGCACTGATTTAAGTGCTCTTGCAGCTGTGGCTGCAATGCACATAATGAATCCGAAAAGGTGAAAACTTGGCTCGCCCTAAGAGAGACAAGAATACAGAAAATCAGACAAGAGACTCAAACATGAGAATCCCAACTACATCAAAGACATCCTATATAGTAGGAAGGATTCAAGGCTGGCATAAGAGAATAAGAAGTTAAGAACTAAACCAAAGTAACATTTTTTCTCCACAAAACATAAACTTCATAAGTTGTAGCTGTGAGCAAAAACTGAAGTGGTAGCTTGTTCCGGAGTTACACCAAGACTCCAGATTCAGACTGTTGTATCTATACAATGGGCCAAATATGAACTGACTCCACAAGATTCAGCTCAATCCTACGTTTCCCCAAGTAAGCACCCCAAACAGCAAACTTGCCCTTTCATGCTTCTACTTCACATTTATATCTCCTTAAAACTACCAAAATCATCAACCATTTCTTAACCAAATGAATTACCTCACTGTAACGCAAATGGCGAACTGGATGAGAATCCATTTCGATATGTATACCCCAAAAGCAAAAATCCCACAGCAAGAATAGGAATCAAAGAACAAAACTTGAGTTGGGGAAAGCAAAAAATTACCCCACTGGCGATGATAACACCAGTAACAACAGGGATGAGAGTGATGTAAGTCAACCAAGCCTCCCTCTTCAGCGTCATCAGGTAAGCGAACACCGCCGTGAAGAACGGAGTCGTGGCGCCAATAGCCTGATTGAACGAAACCGGAAGAAACCGGAGAGAGACGTTCCCGAAGACCACCGACACACAGAAAACGAGGCTGAGCGCTGAGATCTTCAGGAATTGGACTCGGGATCGGATCGTCTGCATAGGGACCATCTTCATCCAAGCAATGGCGACGTAACTCAGGAGCGAACACGCAGTCATGTGGCACATGGTGAGGAAGATCGGGTACTTGAAGCCATAGTTGCTAAGCAAGTACTTGTTCAGCAACAACACTCCAATATTCGACGAATACCACGCCGCCACAAGCCCTATTGTGAAGAACCGGCCGTTCGCCGCCATCTTCATTGTCGTTCTTCCTTGTGGGTTTCCTCTGAAATGGGTTTATAGTAATGGGTATTGATCGATTTGATCGATGGTATCCGGAGAAATTTGAAACCCCACGAAAATTGATGAATTGGGAGTTGCGAAAACCCACCGCGGAAGAAATCGATCTGGTCGCCGGGAGGGAGATTTCCAGAAAGAGATTTGGAACTTGCTGCTATTCCATCGATCAATACAGGATTAGGTTACAATAAAAACACGCAGAAATGCTGGAATCAGACACACTTAAGTGATTTCGGTAAGAAGAAGAAGAAGAAGAAGAAACGGATCCCTCTGCTGCGAAAAGGAGAGATCTTTGATTAAAGCTTCAACAGCTCTCCTTTCATTTGTTCATGATTTTGGTGCGCTTGTATTTTATCAGGGAACGGATATTTGGGATTTGGTTTGATTGTTTTTTCCCCATAAAAATTATACTTTATATATATGGATTTGATTCATTTGTTTTATAAAAAAAAGTAGTTATTCATATTATTTTTTAATTGCTGTATTTCTAAAAATTATTCTTTCTTCCCGTTTTTTTAAATTAAAAACTTATATTTAATCGTTTTAAAATAAGATTAGATTAATATAATAATGTTGACTTTTATTTGGTTCCCTTTTGGGAATTGATATATGCGTCCCTAATTTTTGTTAGAGTGATGTTGTATTCTCTTATTTTTTGCAAACTTACTCTTACTTATGTATTAAATATAATTAATTCGTTTTCTTTTCCTTTTAATTGGGGGTTCCTTAGAAATTGTGTACCAATGAAGGAAAGGAGCGGTTGACTTTGTTATTGTATTGCAATAGAAATGTACAAATGATCTGTAAAATGGTCGAGAGAACAAATTTATATATACTTTTATTTATAAATAAATTAAACTATTTTTACCATAACATATAGTGTTTTGCACAGCTATGAAATATGAAATGGATGCTATAAATATATTCATTCTCTTTGGCTTTTAGATTTTGGGTCATACAAATTTCAAATAATAATAATAATAATAATTTCTAATAACGTTTCACAACAAAAGTAATTTCGAACTGTCAATCACAGCTTTATCTAAAATAAACAAAACAGTTGTATTAAGAAAGATATGAAGTGATTAGTTGAAATGTCGGTTTTTAAACTCAAAATGATATTCAATAATTAACACCATTAAAAAATGCCACAACTTTTTCTAAACATATATATTTATGAGATTTTTTTAGACAATCGTTTTGATTGCAAAATTATATATTTTTTTGGTGTATATAATATCGGATTCCGACCAAAAAAACGGGTGTGCGTCAATTCCATTTCCATCTGAGTTACTTTAAAACATTCAAAATGCACAGACCTGCAATCTCGTGTATAGTCAAGCAAGTTTGGCGTTTGTAGATATATACACACAATTACGTAAATATTTGTTAGCTTTCTTTTCTTGTTTATTCATGTCAAACTCCCATATATGATATATATATATATATATGTATATATATATATATATGTATATGTATCAAACATTCAAAGATTATACATCTGAGACTGAGAGAATCTATTAAAAATTTGTAAGTGCCCACACAGAAACTTGGATTTGTTGCGCTTGTTTATTGCATAATGTGAAATGTCATCAAATGGTCAAAAAACAAATTAAATTTTTTGAGAGATACCTTTTATATCGATTAAACTTCCTTGGAAAACCATTTTGGAGAGAGATAATTCACCTATATTTTTCCGATCTTGTAAAAGATATAATTAGACAAAAGATACGGTAAACTTACGGATTATAAAAAAAAATTGGTGGAGACCGCTTGCCTTTGAATTTCGTTGAGGATCCATATGTTTTTTTATAAGATGATCCCATTATATACGATGGCATGTCCACATCTCAGAAATTTGCAAAGGAGGACCATGCCAAAGGTCTTTTTACCTGAAGAGAACTCTGAGTTCCTTGCTGACTCTAAGCAAGCGGTTGGGAATGAAATGAACACTTCCGATTATCATGGATCAATGCCTGTAAGAATCTGCTGAATATGGAATTCTCTTGATCATATCAGAGTCTCTACAAATGCCCATATCTTCTTTGTTCTTTGTGGGGTTTTGTGTGAAAAAACTATACACAAAACCATAACCATATATATACATACTCACACACATACACACATATGAGGAGGATCCGTTCTAATATACATATGGAATATTTGTCTTAAGAATCGGTTGGTATCCATGAAGATGGATCCTTTTGAGGTACCCATCAGAGGAATTTGGTGGAAATTAACAAAGTTAACATCAGACATGAAGCAGAAACAACCCCACAAGGAACATGAAAACTCATGCGAAAACTCTGAAACAAGAAAAACGTGTAACAGTAACTAACCAAACAGAAGGATTAGGGTTCATATATAACACACACACAAACGGGGGTAAACTTACTCGACCGTGTTTGGGTACTGTCGGAAACGATGATCGCCGTTGTTTATGACTTTCCGGCGAGATACGAAGCAACCAAAACATACAAAGGATGAATCCAAAGGGATGGCAGTGATCCTAAATATATCCAAGTTTATGGTTTTTCAGGTATTTGATTTAAGATCAATGCGATCCCTTTGGATGCTTCCTCTTGTTGCCTTTGAGATCTCTCTCTCTCTCTCTCTCTCTCTCTCTCTCGTATTTCTAGAGAAAGTGGCTTTGAGTGGACCTGCGTTTGTAGAATATAGAGGAGAGCTTAATTAGGGCTATTCTAAATGGCGTGAAAGCTTGAGATGATTAAAAAAAAAAGATTTTATTCTTAGGAAAAATCAATACATTTGCATCAATATTGATAATTTTTTATGGTAATGATCTAGAAATCGAATAATTATCTACTTTTGGTTACGGCGTTTCTTTTCAATATTACATTAGATTGTACAAATCTCTCAAGATCAAAACTCAAAACATCTTTTTAATTCGAAAGTATAATGTTTTAGAACGGGACGCAACCAAGTATCAAAATCATTGGAACACAAGTTTATTCATTGACTGACTTTCTATAATGCGAGTAAATGTAAAAAGGAAAATTGGAAATTGTATGCTTGGTTAATATTTAGTTAAGAAAAATGAGGCTCAACTTAAATTAAGAAAAATAAGCGTAAGAACTAAGGAATATTATTTATCTTTCCTGAGATTGGGTTTTATTCAGTATCCCATACTGTTATAATCATATAGTTTAATTGACGTGGCCAAATTATCCGATTTTCAAATATCTAAAAATTCATATATAAAACATGTGTAGATCGAATTTAAATTTATGGTTTTATAATTTCACGATCAGATATAATTATAAACTCAATATTATATTTATGAAAAAATATAAAGTTATTTTTAGTCACACAATCACTCCTATATTTTTTTTTTGAAAAATTATAATTTTTTTATAACTATCTTAATATTTCATAACTATCTACCTTATTATTTACCATTAGTTTTTTTCTCTCTAAAACACAATACGTAATTTAAATTAAATTCATTTAACGAAGAAACTTTAATATGATTGAAAAAAAAGGGTTACGGATGCAAATTCGACCTTACCGTTATTATATAGTCGGCTAATTGACACAAAGTTTTAAGATTCGGATAAGATTCTTCGATAATGTCATATAATTAATTTAAATATTAGTAGTTTATAAAAAAAAATGAATGTACTTAGCACTCATGTGTTTTGTGCCAAATGATGTTTGGCTTCTTTTTTTTTATGCTCATCTTTAAATCCGTGAGACGCATGGTTCTAAATGCCATACCATCACACCCTGAAAAAACATGTCCTAAGGCATAAACATTTTTTTTTGGTAAAAAACGGATTGGAATGATAATATATAAATACACAATTGTGATCAAATTAAAATTAAATATAATTTTTGAAATTCAATCGATCGAATCTATAATATATAAAATTTTAAAAAACTAGTATTAGATTTATGTATATATCATTAATCAAGCCAAACTAATATCTTTTGTTTCTTTCGATTATATATATA